CCTCTGGAGTCTGTGCTCCTCCTGCCCCCCCGGGCCTCACAGGCACCTCAGGCCCTGCGGGCTTCCCCGAGGCCGGTTCTCTGCTTCCCGGACCCTGCTGCCCACTTGTGATTGTGATTTTCTTTATTTTAAAAATTTAAAGTATTTATTATTGGGGTAAAATATAACACGATACTAGTTTCAGGTGTACAACCGAATGACTTGATGTGTATATTGAGAAATGAGGACCTCAGTAAGCCTAGTTAGTAACTGTCACCATACATGGCTACGAAATTTTATTTGTTCTTTGATGGAAACTTGGCAAGGGCTTGCTTATTTTTGAGATCTTTGTCTCAGGTCCCTTTAAATACTTCCTTAAGTCATCATGCGGTGGACATTTTATTTTGCATTTAAATGGGACACTTTAAGACCTTTTAGGAAAGTTCTCTGTTGAGCCCATACATAGTCTAGGCACAGCTGGGAATATGCGAAGCTACTACTCTTATCGCTTCTAATTAGCTGGAGTAATAGTCGTGCTCCCGCAGTCGGCTCAGGGCAATTCTGGCTGTTTAATTTTTAGCCTATTTTAAACATCATAAGAGCGAGTTATTGTCTTGTGCTTTGGAAACCCTGGGGAGAGGTCTGACAGAGCAGGAGCTTTGGATTTGGACATCTGCAAGTAAGAGAGTTTGGAAATTGCAAGTGTGGGGGGGATTCCCCGGGGATGGTGAGCCCAGGGGGACGGGCATTGGAACCCCAGGGGGAAGACTTACTCCCCTGGGTAAGACCCCTGTGGAGGAAGGTCAGAAAGGAGAGAGGACAGGCAGGCACATGCCGGGTCACAGAAGGCCAGCGTTTCCAGAAGGGTGCGGCATCCGGTGCTCAAGTTCAAGAACATGCATGACTTGCCGTGTTGAATGGGTAGAGGTGGTTCCTGGGGGCGTTGAGGCACACGTGAGAAGTGGGGAAGTGTCAGGAGCAGTGGATTCCTTCCAGAATTTTGACGAATAGAGAAGAAGAAAGGGGGATTAGCCCACAAGCACCAGAGGGTCCAAAATTGGTTTTCAGGGAGGGGAGAGATCCTATCTGGAGCTGAGGAGTTTTGTGTTTTCGTACCCCATGATTGTTGGCCCCAGTGTCACGGGTCATGTTTCTCTGCTCTTTGTAGGGCTGCCAGTTTGTAGGTAGACGTGGAGGCTCGAGCCAGGTCAGACTGGGTGATTCTGGCCAGGCTACTCCTCTCAAGGTGGCTTCATGGAGACATGAATGGGTTTTTGTTGTTTTTTTGTTTTTGTTTTTGTTTTTGTTTTTTTAATGAATTTACAGACAGGTGATCATTGTCTGGAACAATTAATTCATTTAGGCATTACACATATAATTTCAAACACATTTCTCAGTATGAGAGGTTTTGTAGATGTAAAATATCCCCCTTCCCCAGATCAGTGGGGACACACCACACATTGCAAAGTGAAATTACAAATACAGTTTTTATTCACAAACCATCACTTGACTTCTCTGCTCTACGCCACACACTGCTCTCGGTCCTAAGTAGAGTGGTGTGCGGTATGTAAAGGTCTGTACAGAGGCCTGGGCCTATGAAGCTTTTAGGAAGTGGACTCAGGGTTTTGTGAAGTTGAGTGATAACGCAAGGCTGCTCCGACAGCACGCAGGGCTACCGGCTGTCCTCTGTGAAGGAGGACAGATTTGCGGCTGGGGGTGTGCTGGTGGTCTGGGGCAGTGGCGTGAGGCACAGGTGCACCTGGGAATGTTTGGGGTCCCCAGGGATTCAGCGGTGCTCGGAAAACACTGATGAAGCACTGAGATAATTTTTTAAAATGATCTGTTACCATGTCAGAAAAATCATATACAAAATACAGAGAATTTCATCATATTATTCTGTAATAAAATCCTGTAAAAACAACACACAAATTTATTAGAACAGACAACATTCTGCACACTGAGAGCACCCAGTGTGGATGAGGACGAAGTAACAGCAGGACTCGTTCGTCGCTGGTGGGCCTGGAAAACGGGGTCGCTGCTGTGGAATGCCGTTTGCCAGTTTCTTGCACAATTAAATATGCTCTGACCGTACAGTCCAGCAGTCCTGCTTCTTGATATATGCCCAGAGGAACGAAAAACTCGTGTTCACACAAAATCCTGCTTGTGAATGAGCGTCACTCGTAATTGCCAGAAGTTAGAAGCAATTCAGATGTCCTTCAGTAGGTGCGGGTCCATCCAGACCACGGACGACTATTCAACATGCAAAAGAAACGAGCTCTTAAACCATGAAAACACGTGGAGGAACCTCGAGTGCTCATGACCACGGGCAAGAAGCCGATCTGGAAGGACTACGTGCCGTGTGATTCCAGCTTCTGACATTCTGGGAAAGGCAGAAGTATGGGGGGGTGAGAGGATCAGTGGTTGCCAAAGGCTGAGGAGGGGAGAGCACAGGCAGAGCAGGGAGGATGTCTAGAGCAGCAAGAATGCTTCATATGACATCACGGTGACTATGTGTCCTTGTACATTTGTCCAAGTTCATAGAATGTACAATAGCAGAAGTGAACTCTAAATTCTGGACTTTGAGTGATTATAATGTTACAAGATTGTTTCCTACTTCGTATAAAATGTATCATTTCATATGGGATCTTGATAATGGGGAGGGAGGAAGTATGTGGGAGGGAGGAAGTATGTGGGAAATCTCTGTACCTTCCTCTCAGTTTTGCTGTAAACATTAAGACTACTCCTAAAAAATATTTTTAAAAATGCTTTATAATTTTTTAAAAAAGATTTTATTTATTTATTTATTTGACAGAGAGGGAGAGATCACAAGTAGGCAGAGAGGCAGGCAGAGGGGGTGGGGGAAGCGGGCTCCCTGCCGAGTGGAGAGCCCGATGCGGGGCTTGATCCCAGGACCCTGAGATCGTGACCTGAGCCCAAGGCAGAGGCTTAACCTGCTGAGACACCCAGGCGCCCCTAAAAAATAAAAAAAAAACAAACAAAACACAGTCTATTCTATTTTTATGCTGAGAATTAATACATCACGAAACAGAAATAGAAAATCAACTGGTTGATTATTTTTGTTTCTATTTTTAGGGTTCTGATCCAACTTTTTCTTCCCTATCAGTTATTGATCCCTATTTGAAGTAGCTGCATTTTCCAGTCCCAAGCACATCAGGCTGCCGGGGTTCTCTTGTGTGTGGGGGGGGGCGGGGTTTCAGGGTCATTTCCTGTCCCCTTACATGTGTTGTGCATGAGGATCAGGTGACATGAGCAGGCAGCAAGTGACATGAGAGACAAGGCAGGCTCTGCAGACCTGCTCTGGCTCTCGATTTTTATCTGACACCATCCAGCGCTTCTGTTCATCTGGAAAGGCTAATCGGGGGCGACTGTGCCTCAGAACCACCTGCCTCTGACGGGGACCTGCTTCTTTCAGCCCCGTGCACGTCTGTGGACAGGCGGTCTGGGTCCTTATGCAGAGCCTGGGCTGCAGAACCTTGCAGGCTGCGCCGAGGACAGCTCCACCTGAGAGCCTGAGGCCGGGCTGCTCGGCACTGGACAGTGCCCCCCGCTGCCATGTGCAGCGCTCCTTTGAACCAGAGCAGACACTCCTCAGACTTATACCCAAGCCGGCATCACTCGGGGTTGCTTCCCGAGAGCAGCTTTCGGTTACAGGGGCGCATCAAGCCCCTGAGGCGCGCGGGTGTGCGAGGGCAGCCCCGTCCTGGAAGATAACAGGACAGCAGGTGCGCGGGGCTGGAGACGAACCTGGGGACGGACCCGGCTCGCCTGCCACTGATTTCTGAGGGTCCAGCACGGCTCACACTAACACCTGTTTCTTGGTCTTTTTTTCCTTCCTTGTATTTCCTTATAGTTTCCCAGTCCAGTGTCTGTGCATCTGACTTAGCCTTTTATTTATATCTTCTCTCACTTTTTCCTCTTAAATCTTTTTTTTGCTGTCTTAACTTTATTTTAGTTTCTCCTTTGTTTTCTTTAGGTTTTTATTTTCTTATTTGCTCCATGTCTTATGAATTTTCTCCCTTTCCTTCTTTTTTATTTCCCCTGTTCTTCTGTTGACTTTATTTTAGAGATAAGATGCTTCCTGTGTGCTTGTTATGTGGGTAAAGTGTTAACTTTGATAAATAGTTGTATGATTACAAATTGAAAAACTGGAGTGCTGTGGTTTTCTCTTTTCAACAACATTTTGACCAGTGGAACCATGTGTTGAAGAAAAGAAGCTAGTTTTTAGTGGAGATGAAACTATTACAGACACAGTGTTCTAGTTTAATATAGACTGCCAATCTCACTGTGTTTTAGACTTAATTTCTTCTTCTCTCAAGTGTGGTGTCTACTCTCTTCTCCTCCCTGTCTACTCTTTTTTTCTTTTCTTTTTCAATTGGAAGTCAAGAAAGTGGCCCAGAACTGTGTGGTGCTTACTGAGGGCTCTCTGCTGGGTATCTCAGCCATGGTGGTAGGAAAGTGGGAAAATATGGAAGGACTTACTTGGAACCCAGGCATTTAAATCACATGTGGAGCCTTACTCTATGTACGCCTCGAACAACCTGTGTCTCTGAAAGATAAGTTTATGTGGGTCTTTATCCAAAAGAAAATGATTTGTTATCTCTTCAATAGCCATTAAAGTGATATCAGTGATTGTATCTGGATACAATCTTTGAGTCCCCAGAGCAGCAGAACTACAGAGCAGTCTTGTGAAATTCAGCTTCTTGATGAGATCACTACCAAGAAAAGCACCAAGGGTTTTGATTACATTTCTTGTTCTATGGTTAACCATGTAAAACTTAAGAGAATATGTGCCAACAAGTATATCCTCTTTTCTGTTTATTTGCTCGCCTCTTCCAAAGGTGTTTTCCTTACAAAAATGTGTCATAAAGATGTCATTTACAGTTGATGAAACTGTGTTAAATAACATCACTGACACTTTTGATGGAACTTTCTGGGTAGCTCCCACCTTTGCACCCCCAAATTTGAGGACCTGTGTGCAATCATTTGCTTCTTGTTTTCAGATAGCTTTGAGATCGCCGTGCCATCAAAGAAGCACATTGTCTCAGAACCTGGGAAAAATGTCACACTCACCTGTCAGCTTCCACAGAAGGGGCCGATACAGCACGTTACATGGGAAAAGATCCAGCCCCATCAGATTGATCTCTTGACTAGCTGCAACTTGTCTCAAGGGAAAGGTTATGCTTCAAAGTACCAAAGACAGATACTGAGCAACTGTAGTCAGGGCATGACAAGCTCCTTCATCGTCATGCCCCACGTCATGGCCTCTGACTCAGGACTCTACCGCTGCTGCTTCAAGGCCAGCAGAGGGGACAATGGAACCTTGGAAACAATCGCAATGAGGTTGACTGTAACCGATGGTGAGTACGTCATGGGTGTCTTCCAGTGTTAGACATGGGAAAGGATGCCACCACTGTGGATTGGTTTCTGTTGTCTTTTTCATGACTCTAGTGTTCAACATATTTTGTAACATTGGAGATTAGGTGAGTTGTCAGTCATTGAAGGCTAGGATTTGGTTTTTCTTTATCTTGCTAAGCCATCAATCACAGATTTAACATTGATGAATCTTTCCAGTTTCTTGATCTGCCACATTCCTGAAATTAAAAAAAAAAAAAAATTGGTAATTCTAAAAAAATACATGGTCTCAAAAGCGGGGAGCTTCAGCTGTATAACTTCTATTTGTTTTCAGCTATGTGACAGCTTCGTGATGGTGGTGTCTAAGTTCTAGAATCCTCGTGAATCCTCAGCAGCAATAAAATGGTGCTGGACTGGTATTTGCTGAGTCAGTGTTGAGTTGAGTAGAATTTAATAAATATCTGATAATGTTCCTCCTTGGCCGGCTCAGGGCTTTTATTCCTCCCGTTGTTTTCGGCCCTCAGAGCAGAAGCAGACTGGCCTTCTGGGCCCTTCAACCGAGCAGGCTCCCCCCAGGGCCCAGCACTGATTTTGTATTAGTAATTTGTTCCCTGTGTCGTGATGGAGCCCTGATCGTGTAAGCTGCTGGCCCCACGGAACCTGCGTGAGAGTAAGAAAAAGAAACTTCACTTCCCGAAGTGCAAGTACAGAGAGGCCCCGAGAGAAGTGTGTGGTGGGGTCTGCATCGGGTCCCGGGGAGAGGAAGGCGGTCTCAGGCTCTCCCGGTTCTGCCTCTGGACAAGTTTTCGCACAGCAGATGAACGTTGTCGGAAGAGATCATTTTTGCTGTTTATAGAAATTGTATTAACTTTCTTCTTCCTTCCTTCCTTCCTTTTTTCCTTCCTTCCTTCCTTCCTTCCACCCACCATGCTCTCTCTCTTTCTCTTCCATTCTTTTATGTGCTTCCAGCCAGCAGCGGGCTATGGCTGGTGGGTAGACTTCTAGAGCCCAGGTTTCTTGGGATTAGGCCGTACCTTTATAGACTCTGTTCACACTATAGACCGATGTCTGTTCCTGCTTGGAAAGGTACCGGTTTGCATGTGCAGCAGCTGTGAGCTAAGAAGACTGGCAAAGGACAGCACTTCCTTATGCATAATCCCCTCAGACCCCATCCAGCCTTCTGTTTCTCTTATGGTGGTGCAGGTTGTAGGTGAGACCTAAACTGTTCGAAGAACTTGATGTAGAAGAAAGGGGTAATGGCCTCTGTGGGGGAGAAACAAATTAACAGAGTTTCTTCATTTTAAGTGTTGACTCCATTCCTTCAGATGTATATACAAAATATTTTGTACCTTAAAAACAAAAACAAAAACCTTGCATTACAGAAATATTTTCTAAACGTGGCCAGGAAAAAAAAAAAAGGTCATTAATTTTCTCTCAGAGACCAAGGCAAGGAAAATTTCTATTCAAAAAAATATCATAAAGAACTTTTTTCAAATAGAAAGTAAGATCTTTTACATTATATGTTGAAAAAATAATTATAAACAAATTATAGAAAAATAGAGGCCACAAATTGTTAGAAGGTGTAGTTATTTAACTATATATTATATATATAACTGTATATTAAATATATTATAGTTATTTAACTGTATATAATTAATAAAAATGTCTTTCACTTGTGCAGACGTGACTAAATTTCTTGCTCAAAACGATAACATAAATTATAAACGATCTGAAGGTGACTGAATGTGATGGTCAGTATTGTTAGAGTCTGTGTGTTTTAATCACTTGCAAAATGGCTTTTAGATATTTAAATTTGTCAGGTTAAAAGAATATCAATAGGGCTTATTAGTAAAAAGTTATAATGGATGGAAAATGCCCAGCTGTTGACTTTATGTTTTGGTTTAATTCCTTTTTAAAGTAAATGTAAGTAAAGATTGAAAAAAAAAATCAGATGGAAAGCAGAAATGGATCACTTACATTTGCTCTGATGTGATTTGATTATTTCAAGTCTTGAGGCTGTTTGGTCAAAAATCAATGTAAGGATTAAAGCAGAGAGACAGGTATAAGATGTGGAGCAGATTTAATTTATTTCAACTGTCAAGGGAGAGGTGATTGTGACACAAATTTTATAAACTGCTCTGCGTCCTTTTGTTGCCTCCCATCAACTTCTTTTATAGGATCCAAAGGAGAGATTTTCATGACTGTCGTATTCTACACACGCACACGTGCGTGCACACACACACACACACACACAGGGCTCTTCCCTGAGCTTGTGTTCATCTTCAGACGAGTACCAGGTACTCAGAGGTCACCCAAGAGATGACACAATGCCGATCAGTGTCCCCTATATCTAGTTCTTGACATATTTTGAACAGAGAGAGAGAGTGGCAGAAGCATGGCTTGAACCAAAGTTTCCTATTGACTATCTTTGACGAGTGAAGAATATTTGTCTCCTGTCCTTTACACTCAGGACCTGGGAAGCAGTTTGAAATAGCTCCAGACAGACTATTCTGAATTTGAACTTGTCTAGCCAACGGGGGCAAGGAACAGGGGGGAACGTGAATACACTGACAGTGACCAAGATGGTTTGGGGCCCTTTATGTCCTCTAGATTGTCATTAGTCATGAGAAAAGCATCTTAGTTTCCACCAAAAGAATTTGGGAAGCCTTTTGATAGGAGATAAGTAATGGTGAGACCACCATTGTTGCAGCTGAGCTAACTGGTTATAAAAAGAAATGAAATCCGCTCTCTGTTTCCGGAGGAGACTAGTTGTGAACAAACTTCTGGTCACCACTGCCGAGCAGTATCATTACTCACATCCTTGTCCGGTCTTCTGCCAGCGATGAGGCCACTCAGCTGAACCACCAAGTTCTGAGTGATGATCAAAGTGGAGGAAAAAGAGTTGGAGAGGTAGCACAAATTATGCACGGGGGGGTTGGAGGGATGAGGACGTTGTGTGTGGGTGACTACAATCCAATGACTAGGTCGGGACAGGGATTTGGAGTTCTGGGTTAATATAAAAGGTGGGAGGTTCAATGAGGTGACGACTCGGTGCACTTCTGGATCTCACAGAAGAGCAATGAAAGCTGCGAGTTCTTAACCAGATTCTTAACCATTCTTAACCATTCTTAACCAGATGGCAAAATGGTATTCAAAGAGGTAAAATCATTGATGCAGAATCAAAAAGGGAAATTTGAGATGGAGGGAAGTGGCGGAGAGTCATTGGTAACAGTCAGCCCTGGATGCTTAGCTGTCATCCTAGGCTGCCTCTAGCACATGCGAGATCTTCGGGCACAAAACGGAGCCCACTCCAGACAGACAACTTTCAGATGGTGCCTTCTCTGGGCCGGGCACTTAGAAAAAGGTGCCCCATTCTCTGGGTTGCTGTGGACCCCAGAGCCAGTGTGCAGGCTTGGTGGGGAGCCACAGTCTCCTTACGCACCTGGGCTGGCACGGAGGTGACCTGGACAAGGGCAGAGAGGTTAGTCTGATTGGAATGTCAGCTTGTGCTTGCCGGGGCCTTGCCAGGCACACACTTCGCTACTCTCTCCCCTCCGAACCACCCTGCTCGTTTTCATCATAGTTACTTCCTTTCCTTTAGTGTTTTAGTCAGATCTCCTCCATCTTCACGATTTTTCCACATTAGCCCAACTGCTTCCCTGCCATCGAACCATTAAACATTTTGAATTTCTCAAACTTCTGTAACTTGGAAATATATACCCTTAAATCACTTAATAATTGCATTTGTTTGCCGTGGTCTAGAGACTTACGTCTATGAAATTCCATGAAAAAAAAAAAAAAAAAGAAATTACTTGAGATTAGGGATTATAGCATCTTTGCCTAGAGGAGTCAAAATATCTTTCCAGGATATTCTCAGTAAGTGTTCTCAACTGATTCTTTGTATGTTAGCATTTTTATCTATTCTAGTATATTTCTACATATTTTACTTTTGTTCTAAAGTGTGTCTGTTTTCTTTTCAAGTTTTCTAGCTCGGTTATTTCTAAGTTTTCTTCATCGACATTTAACATTTGAGGTTTAGTGATTGCTGATCAAAGAAACCTAAATTCTGAGGAGATCAGTTGCAATGTTTGGGGAGAAAATTTTCATGAATTTTGTTTACATTAATATCTTTCAAAAAAGCCTGCTTCCTTTCTTAACTTTATCTTTCTTGTTTTGCCTGTTTTATATAAATGGTGCATTATTGCAAGTCACCAGATCTGGTGGATGAGGTTTATAAATGAAAATTACAGAAGTATTCCCTGGGAAATCATGGGGCCACAGCCAAGGGACTCTTCCCATATGTTTCTTATGGAGGTATAGGGTTGACAAGCAGGTAGGAGCACAGAGGAATAGGGTGCTTGCCTCTACATGGCTTGATGGAGATTGACTTTGGGACTCTGTGCTCCTGAGTTGGACTAGAAGAACATGGAGGAAGAGACATGAGCTTCATTTGTTTCTTTGGGCTTTAGTTTCCACTAAAATGCAACCAGTTCACTCCCAGATGATTTGGATTCCTGAGCAGTGTCAGATGTAGACAAGAGATTTTTTTTCAAAGATCCACTTATCCAGAACCTTCTGTCCCATCCTTATTAATTTATGATAGGTCTGACTATTATAGGCATGGGGGCTGTCCAAGCTGGGGTGCACCGGAACGTCAGACACATTTATTTCCATGACATCGTGATGAACTTCAGCTTTTTAATATCTTCACCTACATAGAAAATGATGTTCCTGACAGTTCTTTATATAATAAGAACCCCAGCATCGGAATCCAAAAGCACTGGTGTCACTGCTCACAAGAGAAAATAACCTCTACTGAAATGGACCCACTATAATTTTCAGCTCAGTTTGTTAAGTTTTTAAAATTCTGTGTGATAACTGGATATCCAAATGAACCACACTGTTTCCAGCATCACAAGTGAGCTGATTACTCAATCATGGCCTATTGTGTCTCTGTGTCTTTACAGTCGCCTCTGCCCAAATCCGTTCTTTCAGGCGACACTGT